TAGATGTCTGACATTTCATCCTACCAACGGATCCCAAACCAGATCTCTTCTATCAAATCCATCACTCACCCTTGATCTTTATACTGATCCCCAACTACAGTGGGGCAAAAAAGTATGTAGTCACCACCAATTGTGCAAGTCCTCCCACTTACAAAGATGAGAGAGGCCTGTAATTGGCATCATAGGGAGACCTCAACTATGAGAGACAAAATGAGAAAACAAATCCAGACAATCACATTGGCTGATCTGGAAAGAATTTATTTGCAAATTATGGTGGAAAATAAGTATTTGGTGAATATGAAAATTTCATGTCAATACTTTGTTTATATCCTTTGTTGGCAATGACAGAGGTCAGACGTTTCCTGGAAGTCTTCACAAGGTTGGCACACACTGTTGGTGGTATGTTGGCCCATCCTCCTTGCAGATCTCCTCTAGAGCAGTGATGTTTTGGGGCTGTCGCTGGGCAACACGGACTTTCAACTCCCTCCAAAGGTTTTCTATGGCGTTGAGATCTGGAGACTGGCTAGGCCACTCCAGGACCTTGAAATGCTTCTTACGAAGCCACTCCTTCGTTGCCCGGGCGGTATGTTTGGGATCATTGTCATGTTGGAAGACCCAGCCACGTTTCATCTTCAATGCCCTTGCTGATGGAAGGAGGTTTGCGCTCAAAATCTCACGATACATGGCCCCATTCATTCTGTCCTGTACATGGATCCGTCGTCGTGGTCCCTTTGCGGAGAAACAGCCCCAAAGCATGATGTTGCCACCCCGATGCTTCACAGTAGGTATGGTGTTCTTTGGATGCAACTCAGCATTCTCTCTCCTCCAACCACAATGAGTTGTGTTTCTACCAAACCGTTCTATTTTGGTTTCATCTGACCATATGACATTCTCCCAATCCTCTTCTGGATCATCCAAATGCTGTCTAGCAAACTTCAGACGGGCCCCGACATGTACTGGCTTCAGCAGGGGGCCACGTCTGGCACTGCAGGATCTGAGTCCCTGGCGGCGTAGTGTGTTACTGATGGTAGCCTTTGTTACGTTGGTCCCAGCTCTCTGCAGGTCATTCACTAGGTCCCCCCGTGTGGTCCTGGGATTTTTGCTCACCGTTCTTGTGATCATTTTGAGCCCACGGGGTGAGATCTTGCGTGGAGCCCCAGATGGAGGGAGATTATCAGTGGTCTTGTATGTCTTCCATTTTCTAATTATTGCTCCCACAGTTGATTTGTTCACACCAAGCTGCTTGCCTATTGCAGATTCAGTCTTCCCAGCCTGGTGCAGGTCTACAATTTTGTTTCTGGTGTCCTTCGACAGCTCTTTGGTCTTCACCATAGTGGAGTTTGGAGTGTGACTGTTTGAGGTTGTGGACAGGTGTCTTTTATACTGATAGCAAGTTCAAACAGGTGCCATTGATACAGGTAATGAGTGCAGGACAGAGGAGCCTCTTAAAGAAGAAGGTCCAGGTCTGTGAGAGCCAGAAATCTTGCTTGTTTGTAGGTCACCAAATACTTATTTTCCACCATAATTTGCAGATAAATTCTTTCCAGATCAGCCAATGAGATTGTCTGGATTTGTTTTCTCATTTTGTCTCTCATAGTTGAGGTCTCCCTATGATGCCAATTACAGGCCTCTCTCATCTTCGTAAGTGGGAGAACTTGTACAATTGGTGGTGACTAAAGACTTTTTTGCCCCACTATATAAAGGAGGGTTTTTTGGATTGCTTTAGGAACACTTGTCCCTTTCAGTCTCTTCCCCACCCCCATTTCTTTCCTTTCTCTCTCATTTCCTCCACCTTCTTCTTTTCTTCTGTCTCTCTTCCTCTTAATTCATTTTATACCCCCATCAACGTATCTCTTTCTCTCTCCATCTCTTCTGTATCTCTCTACACAAACTCTCTCCATATCTCCCTCTCCCAACACTTCTCTCTCATATCACCCATTTTCCCTCTTCCTCTCTCCCCCTATCCCTCCTCTCTCCCCCTATCCCTCCTCTCTCCCCCTATCCCTCCTCTCTCCCCCTATCCCTCCTCTCCTCCCACGCATCGATCTCCTTCCTCTCTTCATTTCTCTCCTTCCCCTGTCAATCTCTCACTTCTGCCTAACATCCTCTTTCCTTCTATTCATCTCTCTCATTCCTCTTTCTCCTTCCCGTCTCTTCCTACACCTCTCTTTCCTTTATAGCTCCATAATAATCCCTCCCCCTAGTCATCTCTCCTTTCTCTCTTCCTTTCTTCTTTTGCTTGTCTTTCTCCCCTTTACATCTATCACCCTCTCCCCCGTCCCTCCTGGCCACCACTCATCTCCCTTTCTCTTTTCTACTGCCTCTTCCCCTCTCTCTTCTTTCTATCTCTCCGTTATCCTTTCTCCCCTTCTCCTCCCATTCAGATCTCTCCTTCTCCTCTTCCTTTCCTTTCCCCTTCTCCTCCCATTCAGATCTCTCCTTCTCCTCCCATTCAGATCTCCCTTCTCCTCCCATTCAGATCTCTCCTTCTCCTCCCATTCAGATCTCCCCTTTTCCTCCCATTCAGATCTCTCCTTCTCCTCTTCCTTTCTCTCCCTCTCCTCCCATTCAGATCTCTCCTTCTCCTCTTCCTTTCTCCCCTTCTCCTCCCATTCAGATCTCTCCTTCTCCTCCCATTCAGATCTCTCCTTCTCCTCCCATTCAGATCTCTCCTTCTCCTCCCATTCAGATCTCCCCTTCTCCTCCCATTCAGATCTCCCCTTCTCTCCCATTCAGATCTCCCCTTCTCCTCCCATTCAGATCTCCCCTTCTCCTCCCATTCAGATCTCCCCTTCTCCTCCCATTCAGATCTCTCCTTCTCCTCCTCCTTTCTCTCCCTCTCCTCCCATTCAGATCTCTCCTTCTCCTCTCCTTTCTCCCCTTCTCCTCCCATTCAGATCTCTCCTTCTCCTCCTCCTTTCTCTCCCTCTCCTCCCATTCAGATCTCTCCTTCTCCTCTCCTTTCTCCCCTTCTCCCATTCAGATCTCTCCTTCTCCTCTTCCTTTCTCCCTTCTCCTCCCATTCAGATCTCTCCTTCTCCTCTTCCTTTCTCCCTTCTCCTGTCCTCTTAGGCTTTTTTAGCAATGGCCTGATGATGGCTTCTTTAACCACTTGCAGTCCAGAGCAGTGTTGACATTTCTCTCATATATGTTAAAATCAGAATTTTTCGCTTGAAAATTGCTTGGAGCCTCCAAATGTGATGCACTGTATTGGGCCGCTGGCCTTTCCCCGCACGTGACCTTTAATGGCCTCCCAGTCTTAGTCCGTAGGGTTCAATATTGAGTTGGCCTTAATCTTTCCACACACATGACCTTTAATGCCCCCCCCAGTCTTAGTCCGTAGGGTTCAATATTGAGTTGGCCTTAATATTTCCACACACATGACCTTTAATGGCCTCCCAGTCTTAGTCCGTAGGGTTCGATATTGAGTTGGCCCCGCCCTTTCCACGCACATGACCTTTAATGGCCCCCCAGTCTTAGTCCGTAGGGTTCAATATTGAGTTGGCCCCGCCCCCTTTCCACGCACATGACCTTTAATGGCCCCCCAGTCTTAGTCCATAGGGTTCAATATTGAGTTGGCCCCGCCCTTTCCACGCACATGACCTTTAATGGCCCCCCAGTCTTGGTCCGTAGGGTTCAATATTGAGTTGGCCCCGCCCTTTCCACACACACATGACATTTAATGGCCCCCCAGTCTTAGTCCGTAGGGTTCAATACTGAGTTGGCCCCGCCCTTTCCACGCACATGACCTTTAATGGCCCCCCAGTCTTAGTCCGTAGGGTTCAATATTGAGTTGGCCCCGCCCTTTCCATGCACATGACCTTTAATGGCCCCCCAGTCTTAGTCCGTAGGGTTCAATATTGAGTTGGCCCCGCCCTTTGCAGCTATAACAGCTTCAACTCTTCTGGGAAGGCCGTCCACAAGGTTTAGGAGGGTGTCTATGGGAAGGTTGGACCATTCTTCCAGAAGCACATTTGTCAGGTCAGGCACTGATGTCGGGGGAGGAGGCCTGGCTCGCAGTCTCCGCTCTAATTCACCCCAAAGGTGTTCTATGGGGTTGAGGTCAGGACTCTGTGCAGGACAGTCAAGTTCCTCCACCCCAAACTGGCTCCTCCATGTCTTTATGGACCTTGCTTTGTGCCCTGGTGGGCAGTCATATTGGAACAGGAAGGGGCCATCCCCAAACTCCTCCCACAAAGTTGGAAGCATGAAATTGTCCAACATGTTGCCTTAAGAGTTCTCTTCACTGGAACTAGGGGGCCAAGTCCAACCCCTGAAAAACACCCCCACACCATAGTCCCCCCTGCACCAAACTTTACACTGCAGTCAGGCAAGTACCGTTCTCCTGGCAACGTCCAAACCCAGACACGTCCATCAGATTGCCAGACAGAGAAGCGTGATTGGTCCCTCCAGAGAACATGTCTCCACTGCTCTAGATGTGGCATCCGACGCTTTGCATTGCACTTGGTGATGGAAGGCTTGGATGCAGCTGCTCGGCCATGGAAACCCATTCCATGAAGCTCTCTACGCACTGTTGTTGGGCTCATCTGAAGGCCACACCAAGTTTGGAGGTCTTTAGCTATTGACTCTGCAGACAGTTTGGTGACTTCTGCGCACTGTGCGCTTCAGCATGCGCTGACCCCGCCCTGTCATGTGACGTGGCCTACCACTTGGTGGCTGAGTGGCTGTTGTTCCCAGTGGCTTCCACTTTGTTATTATCCCACTAACAGTTGAGCGTGGAATATTTAGTAGCCAGGAAATGTCACGGATGGACTTATTGCCCAGGTGGCCACCTATCACGGGACCACGCTTGGAGTCACTGAGCTCCTGAGAGCGACCCATTCTTTCACCAATGTTTGTAGAAGCCGTCTGCATGCCTAGGGGCTTGATTGTATACACCTGTGGCCATGGAGGGGATTGGATCACCTGAATCACATGATATGGAGGGGATTGGAACACCTGAATCGCATGATATGGAGGGGATTGGAACAGCTGAACTAATGATACGGAGGGGATTGAAGCACCTGAATCACATGATATGGAGGGGATTGGAACACCTGAAGTAATGATATGGAGGGGATTGGAGCACCTGAATCACATGATATGGAGAGGATTGGAGCACCTGAATCACATGATATGGAGGGGATTGGAGCACCTGAATCACATGATATGGAGGGGATTGGAGCACCTGAATCACATGATATGGAGGGGATTGGAACACCTGAACCACATGATATGGAGGGGATTGGAACACCTGAATCACATGATACGGAGGGGATTGGAGCACCTGAATCACAGGACACAGAGGGGATTGGAACACCTGAATCACATGATACGGATGGGGGATTGGAACACCTGAATCGCATGATACGGAGGGGATTGGAACACCTGAATCGCATGATGATACGGAGGGGATTGGAACACCTGAATCGCATGATACGGATGGGGGATTGGAACCCCTGAATCGCATGATTGGGAGGGGATTGGAGGGGATTGGAACCTGAATCACATGATATGGAGGGGATTGGAACACCTGAATCACATGATACGGAGGGGATTGGAACACCTGAATCACATGATATGGAGGGGATTGGAACACCTGAATCACATGATATGGAGGGCTGGACCAATACTTTGGGCAATATAGTGTATAATTTCTGAAGGCAGAGGCCCTCGTTGGGTGTTGCAATGTTTTATGTTGCACAATAGAGGCCCTGGAGAGTAGGACTGCAGTACCTACAATTGTCCATAGGCAAAGCATGAGCTCTGGCACTAGAATCATTGCTGATGGCCATGGTAATACCTTACATGTGTGATGCAATCCGCGTCTACATATGTGTGTGGGAACTACATGCCTGTTTGCATGTGACCATGGGGGGACGGGGGTGCTTAAAATGTTATTTTATTTAAATGTATTTTTTCATTCAGCTTTATTGCTATTACAAGGGGCAGTGACAGGTACTCTTTATTGAGCGATCAATGATAAGACCCCTGATCCCTCCTCTGCCCTTCAGAAATCTGTTGGATTGGCTGCTGCAGCCACGATGCTGTGTATACACGAGGACAGGACGTGGTTAGTGGGAAGATCTTTGGATCGAGAGTCCCGTACAATTCTTTGGGCTGATGGACTCATATGGCTAATGCTCTGCATACAAAGTAAACATTTCTGCTTGAGCGCTTCCATGTATGTTACACGGAGTTCAATGGTGACTGACATAACATGCATGTAAAATACTCCTGAAATGTAGAACATCGAGACCCGGCCTTTATAGTGTGCCTGTTGGACCCGGGTCCAGGTCAGAGGACAGCATACTCTGATGATGAGCAATCAAGTCCACAAGTTTCCTCCTACAGTGCCTTGAAAAAGTCCCCCCCTCTGAAATGTCCCCCGTGTTGTCATGTTACAATGTATCCCCCCCTCTGAAATGTCCCCCGTGTTGTCATGTTACAATGTATCCCCCCCCCAAAATGTCCCCCCGTTACAATGTATTGTCCCCCGTGTTGTTACAATGTATCCCCCCCAAAATGTCCCCCCCAAAATGTCCCCCATGTTGTCATGTTACAATGTATCCCCCCCCAAAATGTCCCCCGTGTTGTCATGTTACAATGTATCCCCTCCCCCCCCCCTGAAATGTCCCCCATGTTGTCATGTTACAATGTATGCCCCCCCCCTCCCCCTGAAATGTCCCCCATGTTATGTTACAATGTATTCCCCCTCCCTGAAATGTCCCCCATGTTGTCATGTTACAATGTATTATCCCCCCCCCCCCCTGAAATGTGCCCCCCATGTTGTCATGTTACAATGTATTCCCCCTCCTGAAATGTTGTCATGTTACAATGTATTCCCCCCCCATGTTGTCATGTTACAATGTATCCCCCCCCCCATGTTGTCATGTTACAATGTATCCCCCCCCCCATGTTGTCATGTTACAATGTATTCCCCCCCCCCATGTTGTCATGTTACAATGTATCTATTGGGATTGGATGTGATGGACACAAAGTGGCACATAAATGTGAAGTGGAAGGAGAATGAGAAATGGTTTCCAACATTTGTGACAATAAATCTGTGAGAAGTGTGGGGGACATTTGTATTTGGCCCCCCGGAGTCAGTACTTTGTAGGACCCCCTTTGGCTGCCATTCCAGCTGCAAGTCTTTTTGGGGATGTCTCTTTGCACATCTAGAGAGGGACATTTCTGCCCGTTCTTCGTTGCAGAATCCCTTAAGCTGTCAGATTGGATGGAGGGCGTCTGGGAACAGCAATTTTCAGGTCTGGCCACAGATCTTCCATTGGATTTGGGTCTGGACTGTGATTGGTCCATTCTAACACATGAAGATACTTTGATCTGAACCATTCCATTGTAGGTCTGGCTGGATGTTTCGGGTCGTTGTCCTGCTGGAAGGGGAACCTCCGCCCCGGTCTCCAGTCTTCTGCAGACTCTAACAGGTTTTCTTCTAAGATTGCTCTGTATTTGGCTCCATCCATCTTCCCATCAACTCTGACCAGCTTCCCTGTCCCTGGCGAAGAAATGCATCCCCACCACATGATGATGCCACCACCATGTTTCACGGTGGTGATGGTGTGTTCAGGGGGATGGGGTGTTCAGGGGGATGGGCAGTGTTAGCTTTCCCCACACATAGCATTTTGCTTTTAGGCCGTAACGTTTCATTTTGGGTCTCCTCTGACCAGAGCCCCTTCTTACACATGTTTGCTGTGTCCCCCACATGGCTTCTCGCAAACTGCAAACGGGACTTCTTATGGATTTCTTCGAACAAAGGCTTTCTTCTTGCCGCTCTTCCATAAAGGCCAGATTTGTGGACGACTAATAGTTGTCCTGAGGACAGATTTTGTGGAGTGACGACTAATAGTTGTCCTGAGGACAGATTTGTGCACGACTAATAGTTGTCCTGAGGACAGATTTTCCCCCCCTGAGCTGTGATCTCTGCAGCTCCTCCACAGTTCCCATGGGCCTCTTGGCTGCTTCTCTGATGAATGCTCTCCTTGCCCGGAGGTCAGTTTAGGTGGACGGCCATGTCTTGGTTAGGTTGGCAGTTGTGCCGTACTCCTCCCATGTTCGGATGATGGATTGAAACACAGTGCTCCATGAGATGGGCAATGCTTGGGGAGATTTGCTCTATAACCTAAACCCTGCTTTACACTTCTCCACAACTTTATCCCTGACCTGTCTGGTGTGTTCCTTGGCCTTCATGAGGCTGTTTGGTCACTAATGTTCTCTGAACAAACCTCTGAGGGCTTCACAGAACAGCTGGATTTATACTGAGATCACATGACAGGACAGGGGGGCTCTATGTACTAATGAGGGGACTTCTGAAGGCAATTGGTTCCACTAGATTGTAGTTAGAGGTATCAGAGTAAAGGGGGCTGAATACAAAGGCCGCCACACTTCTCACAGATTGATTTGTGAAACAAATTTTGAAAACCATTTCTCATTTTCCTTCCACTTCACAGATTATGTGCCACTTTTGTGTCGGTCCATCACATCCAATTCCAATAAAATACATTGATGGTTTCCTTTTTTGTAACATGATAACTGAGGAAAATTTGTAGGAGTGGAGACTAAAACGTTTTCAAGGCACTGTAGTCTGACATGCTGTAATAAATAGTGCTGAGCTATTGTGTGCCACGACCAATAGTTGCCCAGTGAGAATGTGGAGTTTCCTCTTCTCATTCTATAGTTGTCCTGGGTGAGAGTGGAGAGTTTCTGGAAGGGAGCCTGTCCCTCACCGAAGAGTACTTGGGGCCCGGGAGCAGGAAGTGGTCTTCACGTGGAGTTTCCTCTCTCTCTTCTATAGAAGTCCATGTAGGTGAGAGTGGAGAGTCTCTGAAGGGAGTGTCCCTAACCCTGCACACGATCCACAACTTGGGGCCCGGGAGTCAGGAAGTGGTCTTCATGTGGAGTTTTCACTAATCTTCTCTTGTATAGAACCTCTGAGGGCTTGAGAGTGGAGAGTCAGCTGGAAGGGAGTGTCCCCCACCGATGAGTACTTGGGGGGGATGCTAATGAAGTGGTCTTCACGTGGAGTTTCCACTCTTCTAGTTAGAGGTATAGAAGTCCAGGGTGAGAGTGGAGAGTAAACTCTGGAAGGGAGTGTCCCCCACCGATGAGTACTTGTGGGTCCCGGGAGCATCCAATTGGTCTTCATGTGGAGTTTCCTCTTCTAACATGATACGAGAAAAGTCCAGGGGAGAGTGGAGACGTTCAAGGCACTGTAGTCTCCCCCCATGCCGTAATGAGTGCAGCTATTGTGTGCCTCCATCGGGAGCAGGAAGTGCCCAGTAGAATGTGGAGATTCCTCTTCTTTTCTATAGAAGTCCAGGGTGAGAGTGGAGAGTCTCTGGAAGGGAGTGTCCCCCACCGATGAGTACTTGGGGCCGGGAGCAGGAAGTGGTCTTCATGTGGAGTTTCCTCTTCTCTTCTATAGAAGTCCAGGGGTGAGAGTGGAGAGTCTCTGGAAGGGAGTGTCCCCCACCGATGAGTACTTGGGGCCCGGGAGCAGGAAGTGGTCTTCTTGTGGAGTTTCCTCTTTTCTTCTATAGAAGTCCAGGGTGAGAGTGGAGAGTCTCTGGAAGGGAGTGTCCCCCACCGATGAGTACTTGGGGCCCGGGAGCAGGAAGTGGTCTTCATCCTTCAGGTCACACCGCTGGCACACTTTCGCTGGGCTTGTGGATTTGTGCAGATCTGATTTGATTTCCACACTGTGGACACTCAATCTGTATAAGCTCAGGGTCACAAAAAAGAAAAAGCCCCGGTTACAGTATGCCTGACAACACCTTGACACACCTCACTGGGCTTTTTTTGAGGCATTGGCGCAGTAAAGGCTTCTTTCTGGCAACTCCACCATGCAGCTTATTTTTGTTCAAGTATCATCCTATTGTGCTTCTTGAAAACAACCACGCCATCTTATTCTAGAGCAGCCTGGATCTCTCCTGAGGTTACCTGTGGGGTTTTTTTTTTTTGTATCCTAAACAATTCTGGCATTTGTGGCTGCAATCTTTCTTGGTCTACCTGACCTTGGCTTGGTATCAAGAGACTCCTGATTTTTCCACTTTGATTGAAAGGTACTGACTGGCATATTCAAGGCTTTGGATATCTTTTATATCCTTTTCCATCTTTATAAAGTTCCATTACCTTGTCACGCAGACCTTTTGACAGTTCTTTTCTGCTCCCCATGGCTCAGTATCTAGCCTGCTCTGTGAATCCAAGTGACAGCTAACAAACTCACTGACTATTTATGCACAGACACTGACTGCAATGTAAAAAGTCACAGATGTGGGAAATGACCTTTCATTGCCATGGTAACCTGTGTGTGTCACCTTGTGTGTCTGTACCACGGCCAGACCCTTCCAGGGGGCGGAGACTTCTGATCAGGGACATTTGGGGGATTTTCAGTTGTCATTGGGATTTAATTTATTTTTGGCATGATCAGTCGGATTTTTAATATCAATGCCACAATTTCACCATTTCTGCCAGGGGAGGCAAACTTTTGTGCAGCACTATATATCTGAAAATCGATCAATCCTGATGTACTGACGGCTGATTTTCATTTCTTGAGGCCCTAAGATGTCAGGACAGTACAAA